CTGGACTCGGTGCTGGGCGAGTTCGCCTTCCCCCAGGAGTTCGTGGCCGAGGTGTGGGCAGCTGTCTGCCACCCCAAGGGGGATAAGGAGTAGCTGGGGGGCAGGTGCTGCCCCTCAATTTTGTCCCTTCCCCACGCCCTCACCTCATCCCCACTCCATCTGGGGCTGAGGTGCTGGTGGGGGTCCCCATCCTGTCCCCCACACCCTCCTGAACAGCACCTACATCTGTCCCTTGGCTTGGGGGACAGAAGGCACCCAACCCACCCACCTTCCTGAGGATCCCCCTTGCACTATCCCAAACGTGGTGGGCAGAGGCTGTGGGTCATTAAACGAGAGACAGGAGAAGGGCTGTTGCTCTGATTGTCAGCAGGGTGGGCTCCCTCCAGGTACCCTCCCTGTGCCCCCTCAGGTGGTCACCCCCAGCAGGCACCAAGAGCTGCACCAGCTGTGCTTTATTGGGGACGGGGAGGGGGAAGCAGCCCCCTGACAGCCCCTTGGCTATCGTGGGGGGAAGCCCCTGGATGCAGGTGATGAGGATCCACGGTGGGTGAGGGGGGATGGCCGTGTCCCCCCGCCCCGTGCCCCTCCCCAGTGCTACTGCAGCACGGAGGCGGCGGTGAGCTTGCGGGGCAGGGAGGGGCTGAGGGAGGCCAGCGAGGCCCGGGGGGGCAGCCGGGGGTACACACGCTGCAGCACGGCCCGGCGGAACAGGATGTACACCCAGGGGTCCAGGATCTGGTTCCAGGTGACCATGCGGATGTAGATCAGCAGCATCTCCTGCGTGTCCGTGGGCAGCACCTGGGCCTGGCCAGGCAGCTGCTGCAGGACCATCTGCACAATGAAGATCTGGGGGGAAAAGGGACAAAAGTGTCAGTGGAGGATCCGTGAGCTGCTCCGGGGTGGGGAAGTGATGAAGGTCAAGGCACTGAGCCCCTGGGAGGAGTCCTGGTCTGGTTTGGGGCACTGCTCTGTTTGTCACCAGGGGCCAACTCGGGGTGTAGAGAGGTGACAGGGGGACACCAGCAGGGGAAGTCTTACCAAGGGGACACCTGCACACCTGGGACCTCTCTAGCAGGGACATGGAGGGGACACAATGAAAGCTGGGACCTCACTGTGAGGGGTGGGGGACACCAAGCCCCAGGAGTGACACTGGGGGAGCACCAAGGCTGAGACCCCACAAGGAGGAACAGGGGAACATGAAGAGCCAGGAGGGACACAGAGGGGTGGTGATGGGGCACACCAGGACCGAGGCCTCACCAGGAGGGGCATCCAGCAGATGGTGGCGATGATCATGATGCCCACGAGCTGCACCATCATCTCCACCTCGCTGTCCCGGCGCCGCTGCACCGACTCGCGGTCATGGTAGACGCGGCAGAGCGTGACCACACTGATGGTGTTGAGGATGAAGGAGAGCAGCACGGAGAGGATGCCCAGCAGTGCAAAGAGCAGGCAGAAGACGACGTCGCCAGTGTCGGGCAGGAGGGTGAGGAAGCACCAGGAGCCGGGGAACTGCAGCGTGTAGCGCCCCAGCCCGAAGAGCGGCAGCAGTCCCAGCAAGCAGGAGAAGCCCCACACCAGCCCCACGATGGCCCAGGCNAGGCCCGTGGTAGCATTTCCCCTGTGCTGGCCGGCAGCACCCGGCTGGAGCAGCGGGAGGAAACAGCTCCGGCCACTTCCCTAAATCTAGGAGGCCGATCCGGCTGACGCCGGGGCAGGGGTGAAGCTGCCCCCCCTGCGCTCTCCCTGACTCACCAAGCCAAGCTCCGGCGAGGTCAGGCGCCTTATCAGGCTGCCGTTGGGTTGCACAGAGCACTGGTCGAGATAAATTTGGGATCAAGATAAGAGGACCCACACTGCAACCGTCCTCCCCCCACGCGGGTCTGCTCTGGGCGAGGCAGGTCGTTACCCAGGGTTGTTATCAGTGGCCATTTCTTCCACCAACTGCCCCGTCCCCAGTGCCAGCTAAGCAGGATGTGCCGGTTCCTGCACCAGTCACAGCACCAAGGAACCCCCTTCAGGCCGTGCTGTCCCCTCAGAGGGACCAAGGACCCCTGTGCACATCACACTGTCCCCTCAGAGAGGGACCAAGGACCCCTCTCTACACCACACTGGGCCCTCAGAGAGGCACCTCAGCAGATGGGTCCCCACCAGCCCCTGCATTCCGCTGCATTTTTTGTCCCAGGGCAGAATGCAAGATAAACCTGTCAATAATTCCTGTGAGCCAGAGCCTCCTGTGCATGCCATACCCCACTGCTGGCCCCTGGGTGCACAGCCCCAGCACAGCCAAGGGCCCCATGCCACAGGGCCCCCGCCCTGGGGACACTGAGAGCTGCTCAGGAAGCACCTGGGCTTTTGGGAAAGCCCAGATTTTACTGATGGTCTTGGTTTTGCTGCAGCTCTGAGGTCTGAGCATGTGGTTCTCACCCCTGCCCGCTGCCACCCACACACACAAAGCCTGGGGAGCCCCCGGGATGGGATGGTGCCCAGGCAGGACAGGGATGCCATGGTGCCCCTTCCCCATCCAGGCTGAGCATCCCACTGTGCCCTACACATGGAGCAGCTCTGTCCCCAGCTCGCTGCTGCAGGGGATCCCAGAAAGGCACCTCCCAGGCTATCCCCTCCTCACCAGACACACCTCCTGTCACCCAGGGCACTGCCAACACACCAGACCCCCTTCACCTTCCACAGGGCCCCCCAAAAGCCCCCAGCGCACACAATTCTGCTCACCCCTGGGACTGCCCCTCTCCAGCTGGGGGGACCCTGTCCCCACCTCACTGCCACATGATGGTCCCCCTCCCCAGAAAGACTCCCACACCTTCAGGGAGACCTCCATGCCACAAGGCACCCCAGTTCCTCCCTGCTCCAGGGAACCCCCAAGACTGAATCCCCAGCCCAGAAAGGCACCCTTGGACTTGTTCCCCCTCTTCCAGAGCACCCCAGAAAGGTATCCTGGGGCTGATCCTGTACCCCAGAGAGGCTTCTCCATGTCCCCTAGCAGAGTGCCCCCCCCACCGTGCCCCCCAGCAGAGCTGCTTGGGGCCAATGCCCTCCACCCAGCATCCCCCACTGTCCCCCACCCTGAGCATCCTAGAAAGGTTCTCCTGGGTTCCCCCACTCAGAGCACCTCAGAAAGGCTTCTTGGGCCACCCTTCTCCCTTCAGGCACCCCAGGAGGGTCTCTCACCCCTGGCATCCCAAAAAAGCTCCCCCAGGGTCACCCATTCTCACATGTCACCCTGGATAGGCACCCTCGGTCATTCCCTCAGGGCACCCCAGAAAGGCCCCCCCAGAGCCATCCTCTCCACTTAGAGCACCCCAGAAAGGCTCCCCCCGGTGACCCCCAACCCAGAGCACCCGAGGTCTCCCTCCCTCACAGCCAGACTCCTGCCCTCCCCTAAGCAAAGCCCCTCGGGGTTACCCATCTCTTATCTTTGGCAGCCCAGCAGTGTGTTCCACCCAAAGCACCCCAGAAAGGCTCCCCATGGCCGCTCATTTCCATCCAGGCCACGGCAGAAAAGTCACTCTGAGCGACCCATTTTTACCCAAGACACCTTGGATAGGTACCCTTGGGCCACTCCAAGGCTCCCCTGTGTGTCCTTCAACACAGAACACAGTAGGGTCCCTCGGGGCCACCCCTCTCACTTAGAGCATCCTAGAAGGGCTCTGGATGTCCCCTAACACAGACACCCCAGAAAGTCTCCCCCGGGGCCATCCCTCTTCACTCAGAGCATCCCAGAAAGGCTCTGGTGGTTGTTCCATAACACCGGCACACGGAAAGCTCCCCCGGGGTGATCCCTCTCTACTTACGGCATCCCAGCAAAGTCCCCCCTCGGCTGTCGCCCACTCAGGACACCCCAGAAAGGCTCTCCCGGAGTCAGCCCTCCCGGCTNTCCCTCCTCAGTGAACACTTGTGAGAGGACCAGTCCTTCCAGACCCCGGACCTGGCTGGACCCTGGGCCTGTCCCTTGGAGCTCACTCAGGGGACAGTGTCTGCAGGGGCTCTGGCTGCTCCCCCGGCCCCTCGCACCTTCCTGCAGCCGGGACCCCCAGCCCAGACTGCCCAACCCACGGCTGCACCGGCTCCAGGGACCTTGGGCTTTGGGGACAAGCGGTGACAGGGCTGAGGGACAGCTGGGGCAGTGCTGGGAGAGGGTCAGCGTTGGTGTGAGCACCCCTGGCTCTCCCCTGGGCCCCCAGCCCTGCCCTGCCAACCAGGGGCTCCCTGAAGCCTGACTGGGGCAGGGGAGGCGCTGGTGGGTTTGGGCCTGGAGTGAACACACCCCTGTAGGGTGAGCTGGGGCTGTGGGGAATGGGGGCAGTGGGAGTGACTGGGACCCCCTTGGTCCTGGTGCTGCCTCCTGTCCCCTGGCCAGCCTGGGAACCTCTTGGTCCCATCCCTGCAAGGGCCTGAGGGCAGCTCCTTCCCACCACCTGCCTCAGCTTTTATTTGATGCGTGCCTTCGGCCTCTGCCTCTGTCACCCTGCTTGGCTCCCCTCCTTCCCCTCCGTATCTGGGACCAGGCAGTGAGATCCTGAAAGCAATAAAACTCTTTAGGCCAGAGGGAAGCTGGAACTGTGACCCCCTCCTGGGGCAGGGAGCAGAGGAGAGCTGGGTACCCCCTCCTGTGGTGGGGGACCCCTGGAAGAGGGGAGCTGGGGCCACCTTGTCCTGGGCTGGGGACCCTGTAGCAGGGGAGCTGTGACCGACCCCTTCCTGCTTGCAGGGACCCTGGGTGTGCTGCACTGGCTTTTGCCTCCTGCCCCTTTTGCCTGAGCCCCCCTGCTCTTGTGGGACCACTGTGCTGGCAGCCGGGGTCAGGCTTGGTGTCCCCGGGACTGCCTGTCATTAATCTCAGACTGTGTAATTAGAGAGTGTCTTATTTTCTTACTTAGCACTACATGGGCCTGGCCCTGGCTCTGCCGGGGCCCGGGGTGTTCCCACCCCTCCCTCGCTTGCCGGGCCCGCGCTGTGCATCTGCCATTGGCCATCTCCTGCTGCCGCTGGGCTGGGGATGGAGATGGGAGCAAATAAATGTGGGAGAAAACCGCTCTCGTCCCTGTGTGTTTGTGCTCAGCGGGAGCTCTGGAGCTGATCCCGGGCTTGGTTGGGGTGGATCCGTGGGGGGCAGCCCTGAGCCCATCGCTGCAGCCCCCAGCCCCGNGGGTGGGTGGGGTCCGGCTGAGCCCCTCTGTGATCCCCCACAGCGGTACCTGGACGAGGCAGAGCGGGAGAAGCAGCAGTACATGAAGGAGCTGCGGGAGTACCAGCAGTCAGAGGCCTACAAAATGTGCACAGAGAAGATCCAGGAGAAAAAGATCAAAAAAGGTGGGCTGTGGGAGCAATGGCTGCAGGATCCAGGATCCAGCCAGGTGCTGCCAGAGCTTTCTGGAGACCTGAGGCTGGGCCCTGGGTGACCTCCTTCCTCCCCTGCAGAGGACGTGGGCACGGTGGGTGTGAACACCCTACTCAACGGGCACCCGCACAAGGTAAGGCTCTGTGTGGGGAAACTGAGGCACATCACACTGCTGGGCTGGGCTGGCTGCAGCTGTGAGTGGGCACAGGGAGTTCTGGGGCTGAGTCCCAGGTTCCTGGAGGTGTGGGAGGCAGAGCATAGCCATCCTCCCTCTCCAGACAGGGCCAGCCCTCACCCTGTCCCGGTGCCCTCATCAGCCCGGCCCCACGGTGTTGGGGTCCCCTCTGGTGGGCCCAGCCCTGCCCAGGCCCTCCCTCTTGTCCCTCAGGCTGGTGAGTGCAGCGACACCTTCTCCACCTTCGATGTGCCCATCTTCACCGAGGAGTTCTTGGACCAAAACAAGGGTAGGGGCTGTGGAGGGTCCTTGGGAAGCCTGTGGGGACACAGCTGCTGGGAAGAGCTGTGTGTGGGTTTGGGTTTGGGTTTGGGTTGGGGTTGAGGGGCTCTCCAGGGCCTGTTCCCACGGGCACGGTGCTGTCCCACAGCCCGGGAGGCCGAGCTGCGGCGCCTGCGCAAGATGAACACGGAGTTTGAGGAGCAGAACGCCATCCTGCAGAAGCACACCGAGAGCATGAACTGCGCCAAGGAGAAGCTGGAGCAGGAGCTGGTGCAGGAGGAGAGGCAGACCCTGGCCCTGCAGCAGCAGCTCCAGTCTGTGCGACAGGCCCTCACTGCCAGCTTCGCCTCCCTCCCCATCCCCGGTGAGCTGGGGGCAGCTGTGGCGCCCTGACTGCTGGGACCCCTGCCTGGGCACTGAGGGGTCCCCCCATCCCATACAGGGCAGCACTGTGGGGCAGTGGGGTGGTGGTTAGTGCCCATCTGCTGCTGGGGGGGCATCCTGCAGCACATGGGAGCTGTCTGGGAAGCCCAGGGATGTTGCAGCCAGCTGGGACAGGGCAGGCTGGGATCCCTCCTTCTCTGGAGTCACACTCACAGCTGCGCCCTGGATTGGCCGAAATCCTTGTGTTCCTGGGCTTGTGCCACTGCAGGAGATGGCTTCTGGTGCTGGGATCCCTTCTGTAGTCCCCAGCACATGAGCATGGTGGGGTGGGGACCTGCTGGTCCTGCTCACCGGGCTGTCACCTCACAGGCACTGGGGAGACCCCCACGCTGAGCACCCTGGACTTCTACATGGCCAAACTGCACAGTGCCATCGAGAGCAACCCCCTGCAGCACGAGCCGCTGGTGCTGCGTGTCAAGGAGATCTTGTCCAGGATTGCCAGGTGGGTGGCACAGGTGTCCCCATGGCACTGCAGGGCTGAGCTCCAGCTGCTGGTGATGAGCAGGAAAGGTGTGGACAGGGATGGGCAGAGATGGTGCAGCTGCTCCAGGGAGCTGTGGGAGAGGGAAGCCCAGTCCCTGAATTCAGGAGGTGTCCCCATGTCCAAAGATGCTGATCTGTTGGAGCAAGTCCAGGGAAGCCCATGGAGATGCTGCCAGGGCTGGAGCCCCTCTGCTCTGGAGCCAGCCTGGCACAGCTGGGCCTGCTCACCTGGACAGGAGAAGGCTCCAGGGAGAGCTCAGAGCCCCTGGCAGATCCCAAGCCCTGTGACTGGAATCCAAGGGATTTGAGCAGTGCCCTTGATTTCAGTGAGAACAGAAATGGGTTCAGGTGTGTTCAGTCCTTGGGGAAGCAGGGCTGGAACCAGGAATTGGGGACTGAAATAATCTGCTTTGCTTCTGNGGGCTGCACTGATCATCCCTGAGGGTCCCTCCCAGCTCAGGATATTCCAGGATTCTGTGATTCTAAGCATATTGGGAGATCAGAATCAGCAAGGGCTGAATTCCTCTGAGAGTTGTGCTGTCCTGAGTTGTCCTTGGCCCTCCTGTCACGGGGGTGGTGGATGGGGAAGCTCCTCAGAGGTGGAGGGAGGTGAATGCCAGAACAAACTGGCTGAGGAGGAATCTTGCCTGAGATAACTTTACTTTTTAAAGCATCCTTAGGCATTCGAGGAATCCGGATCACAAGGGGGAGGGAGATCTGTCTGGGCTCAAGGGTGTCAGTGTGTTCCTGGGAAACATGATGATGCTTTTCTGTGCACATCACTGGGAACATTGCTCTTGCAGCTGATAAAGCCAAAGGCTGGCCATGACCCTGCACAGCCTCAGAGGGTTCTTTTTTCCCCAGGAGCTGGAAGAAGAGGTGGTCTCACACCTTTCTGTAGGGTTTTTTGTGAATGTGGGGGTGTAGGGCACTGGTTGCCTCTGATCCTGGTGGAGGGACTTGTCCCACTTTTTCTACAAGGGCCACTGCAGTGTCAGGCTCATGGAAGGGGTTGCCTAAATTAGCTGCAAGGATGGCTTGTCTGGGTGATAAATGGATACCAGTAGCTTGGGCTCTCTGCAGAAATTGGGGTTTGCTCCAGGTACATGGTGTGGCAAACACAAGGGAAATTCCAAGGTGCATCCTGAGCATGTTGGGATCACTGTGGCTTTTGGCACATGTCTGTGCCAGAGTTTGTGTTTGGCCCTGGGCTGGTTCCCAGATCTGGGCACCTGGTTGGAACCCAAGCAAGCATCACTTGGTGATACTCAGGAGCCCTTTGTGGCTCCCTGATGTGGTGAGGACATTTCCAGCAGAGCAGGAGCTGCCTTGAGGACCCTGGGGTGTGAATGGGACAGGGCTGGGAGATGGAGCCAGCGGGAGGAGTTGCCAGGGGGCTTGGGGAGCCCCAGGGTGATGCTGTGGTGGGACAGGGAGGCTCTGCCCACCCAGGGTGCTTGGTGGGGCAGGGAGGCTCTGCCTGAAGCAGCTGCTGATCCATGAAGCCGTGGCAGTGACCTGGGACAGGGGCTGGGCCCTGCAGTGCAGCCACTCGAGGTGCTGGGGAGGTGTCACAGGCAGCACAAACCTGCTGGGGTGGTTGTGGCTGCAGCAGCTCCAGCCAGTGCCCTGCCCTCACCCTCTGCCCCCAGGGTTCCTGGGGTGTGGGTGATGCTTCCCGGTGGTGCCCCTGGTGCCAGGATCCAAACCCCTGTGGCTTCTGCTCCTTTGCAGAGTCCCTTGGGACCCCCACCAAGGCGTGTCCCAAGCCCAGGTGACAGGCAGGGATGTGACTGTCAATGTTTCCTGACCCCAAGAGCCAACCCCCATCCAAATGGCCCTGAGGAGTCCCAGGGCTGCCCCCAGACCTCAGGGCAGCTTTAGGGTGCAGGGGTGCCCTGCTCAGGTGCTGGGCTCTGCTTCAGTGCCATGGCTCTGCTGTAGCCTCCCCTCATGGGAACAAGGGCTCCATGGCCATGCTGGGTTTGGGCTGTTTGACTCAGGGGCTTTGGGGAATCTGGTGAGTGTGAGCTCATGCTGCTGGGGGTGTGTCACTGTTGGTCCCCATGGTGTCCCAGCCCTCTCTGACGGTGCTCTCTGGCTGCAGACACGCCACGGGCAAGGCTCAGCATGGGAACTTCCTGGTGGCCATCAAACAGGAGAAGGGGGAGTCGGCCCGGGTGGGCGGTGAGAAGCCAGAGGAGGAGGTGAGTGCCAGAGCCCGTGTCCCTTCTCACTCCATGCCTGGGCCCAGGTGCCCAGCCTGGGGCTGTCCCTGCCCCTCTGCTCACCCTGCACCAGCCCAGGAGAGGCTGTGGCTGTGGCTGAGCCCAGGGAAGGGCTCAGACTTTGCCTTGAGGGCTGCATGGCCCAGGTGGGCCTGGGGGCTCCCCTGTGTCCCCCTGGTGCGATGGCTCTGGTCCCTGATGGGCTGTCCCTTCCCCGTGGGTGCCAGCCGGTGAAGAAGAGGGGCTGGCCCAAGGGCAAGAAGAGGAAGAAGATCCTTCCCAATGGCCCCAAAGCCCCTGTGACGGGCTACGTGCGCTTCCTGAACGAGCGGCGCGAGCAGATCCGCACACAGCACCCCGACCTGCCCTTCCCAGAGATCACAAAGATGCTGGGAGCAGAGTGGAGCAAACTGCAGCTCTCTGAGAAGCAGGTACTGGCCCCCAGGGCTGGGCAGCTCCNAGGGAAAAGCCGTCAGATCCAGACCCCAATCTGGCCCCGGTACGTGGCTGGAGGCTGCAGCAGCTCTCGGGGCTGAGGCTCCTGTGGCCCCATCCAGGGCCTGCAGTCAGACGTGCAGGGAAAGGCCGTGCCTGGAAGAGGACATGGACCCTGTTCCAGCTGGAGATACAGTGGGACGGCTTTGCGGGAGCTCCCCCCCCTCTGTGTGTGCCCAGGACAGAAAGGGATGGGCTGTGGGGAGGGAGGCTCTGCCTGGCAGCTGAGCAGGGAGGGCACCAACCACCAGCTTTGGGGTTTGGGTTTTTTTCCCTGTTTCCTCCTCCCGGGCCAGGCCTTCACTCACTTCCTGCGCCGAGCCCCAAAGCCCCCCTGCACAGGGAGCAGCAGGAAATAACTGCCAGGAAGGAGAGGCCGGGGACCGTGTCCGGGGCTGGCCCTGGGATGTCCGGCGGGATGGGGAGGGGGCACACACGTGCAGGACCACGGCAGTTGGGCTCCCCCATCTGCAAGAAGGCCAAGCCCCACAAGTGTGGGTGACCAGGGCAGGAACAGGAGCCCCCTGAGCACCAGCTCCCATGGTGGCTCTGCAGCAGAGCCAGGAGCAGGACAAGGCAACTTCCCTGAGCCATGGGGCAGCCCCCAAGGGCTTGGAGGCCCCTGCACAGCAGGATTGCCTCTGTCCTGGTGCTGGGGGACCTGGGCAGACCCCGAAGTCCCTGCACCGTGGGCCTGTACTGGGGAGAGAGTGGATGCAGGTAGGAAATGGTCTCTTGGTGAAGCCAGGGCAGAGGTTTCCTGCACTCCTGGGCACTACTGACCAGCACCTCATCCTGCCTGCCTGAACAGGCATATACACCCTGGGGTTTGGGGCTTGTGGGGATGGAGCCATGTGAGGTGATCCCAGAAGACTGTGGCTGTGCCCTTGGTCATCATTTGGTGGGACCAACACCAGCCAGCCCCAGCTCAACCCTGAAGTGCCTCTGAAGTGCCCAAAACTCATCTGAACATCACTAGAGGCCCTCAGGAACTCCCACCTCATCAACAGGATACTGGGGACTGCAACTGCTTCTTGCCCAGGGCAGGGAGAGCCTCACAGGCATGGCGTGGGAGGGACTACAGGCTCTGGAATCCGGATTTTCCCCTGTAAGGAAATATCTCAACCAGCATCCCTCTCCTCTGCTCCACCAGAGCAGGCGCCGTGCAGCACTAAAGCCTCCCATGCCCCAGCCAGGACTGAGGGATGTGACAGTGCTCCCAGGCTGGGGAAGCCAGATCCCATGGGAGGACGTGCCAGGAATGGGGCCTGGGGGAGGGTGAGGGGCCCCTCTATGAAGCAGGACACAGGGCAGGGCTGAGCTGGTGCAGTCAAGGGCTCTGTGACTCCAGCTGGGGAGCAGCAGCTGGACTGGTCTGGCACTGATAAAGGCAGATGTTGGGACTGGGAGGAGGCTGGAGTGGGACAAGGAGCACATGGGGCTGACTCTGTGGGGATGGGCACTACCCAGTCCCCAGGGCTGGCTGGTGATGTCATGCAGGAGCAGTGGGGGTGCCCATGCCCAGGATCTCATGGCTAAAACAACCCTTATTTTATTTATACCAAAGTCTCAGTGTTCTTCATGATAAATGCAAGGACAGAGAAAAGCCTCAGGAATGCACCCAGCGCTGGGCCAGGCCTTGGGCCACGCACGGAGCAGTGTCTGTGCCGTGGGGTGAGAGCCCCTGCCCAGCCCTGCTGGGTGTCCGAGGGCACCGAGCCTCACCGGCGGTACCGGTACCGCTTGAAATGGAACCAGAGCTGGAAGATGCCGTTGGCAAACTGGCAGCGGAAGCCGTGGCGGTGGGAATACTCCCACTCCCTGTTGACGATCTTGAAGGCGATGTCCTCGTAGGGCGGCCCCGCATGGAAGCGCAGGATGGCGAAGTCCTTGTTGTCCTGGCAGGCCTCCAGGAAGTACTCGGGCGTCGAGCGCTTGTCAATGAGGTCAGGGTAGAAGATGTTGAATTTATAGCCCTGCACGATCTTGGGGGGGGGGTTGTCGAAGTCGTAGTGGGTCTGGTTGTACTTGTTCCACTCGAAGCCCGTGTGCACGCGGTTGAAGAAGCGGGGCTTGCGGGGCCGGTACTTGTCAGCCCACAGGTAGGCCTTGCCCGTCAGCGGCATCTCCACGCTGAACTGCGCCTCGTCCGCGCCCATGCCCTCCTTGGCCTTGCGGAAGAAGATGTCGTCGGTGCTCTCGGAGGCATCACCTGTAGGGGAGGAGAGGGGACATCAGGTTCTGCAGCGCCAGCCAGGCCTGGGCCGTGCAACATTGCTCCAAGAGAAGGAGCTGCTGTGCAGACCATGCAGAACTGGATAGAGGAATGCACGGGCTGCCCTATGGGCTCTGAGTGGGCACTGGGCTGAGTTGTGCTGGAAAACTCAACTAAAACATCCCTCCTGCCTGTCTGCACCCAAACACTTTGGTGGTACCGAGGGAGGTCTCCCAGGGAGCACCAGGAGCCTGAGCACCATCTCCCTAAGTGTAAACTTCACTTAGCCATAGCAAATTCAGGGTTGGTAAATCCTGTGCCTGCCTCCGCAGTCATACAGGAGACCCAAATTAACTTTATAACGGCGTAAAGAGTGGTCACATACTATCCAAGTAGCTAAGATTAAAATGCAACTGAGCTGTCACAAGCCCAAGATGCCAATAAGGCCTCCCCATCAAAGAAGATCTTAGAACAACGATTAATTGAACTGCTCCTGCCTAGGCCACAGTGTCCCTTTGCTCCAGGGGCACCCCTCTGCCAGATCAGCTCTGGGTGCTTGACCCAGATCCAGCTCTTGCCCTTCCTGAGGGCAGTGTCTTCTCCAGTCCTGCACCCCAAATCACTGCACACCCCCATGCTGGGCAGGCTGCCCTGGGGCTCACCTGTCACCTGGAGCTGCTGGCGCAGGAGCAGCAGCCGGTGCGTGTCCTCCTCAGCCTCCAGCACATGGGCGTCGAAGGGCAGCTCGTTGGGGCCCAGCAGCCGGGGGCTGTACTTGCCCGCATCGTAATCATCCAGGCTCTGCTGGATCAGATCCTCCTCCATCAGCACGGCCTCCCCCTCTGCCTCTCCCTTGGCCTCTGTGTCCTGCTCTGCCTCTGCCTCTGAGGATGGCCCTGGCTGTGCCTCCAGGCTCTCCTCGGGATCCAGCCTGCATGGAAGGGAGAAGAGAGGACTGGACGAGGATGGTACCCTCGCTGGCTGCCCACCTGAGCTCTGCCTCGGGAAGGGAGAGGGCACAAGGCTGTCTTTGTGCCCAGGGACAGGCCCAGGTGTTTGCTCACCTGTCACTGGGGGAAGCTGGCTCCCGCTTGATGATGGGGAAGAGTGGTTCGCTCTCCACACCCTGCTCCTGCTTCAGCTTGTACAGCTTCTGACGCAGCACGTCCTGGTGCCGCTCCCGCAACCTGAGAGAGGAGAGGAGAGGAGCTGTCGGTCCCACCCAGCACAACCACCTCACTCCTACTGCCCAAAGCTTTGACACCACCTCCATGGGCAGAAACATGCCAGGCGTGGATGGCTTTGGGCTGAATAAGCCCCAGTTCAGTTCCCTCTTGGAGACCTCACTAAACACCACCACTGCAGAACGGCCTGTGTGTCCTGCCCTGCTCCCCTCTTGGAAATCAGCCATCTCAGAAAAGGCAGAACACCCTGCCCCATTCCCTCCTCTAATTGGGTTTATGCCTCCCCAGCTCTGCCCACAGCAGGATCTGCACTGCTGCCACTCTCTGCTCTCACCTGGCCCGAGCCATGTAAGCCTTCAGCTGCTGCAGGAGGCTCTCCCAGTACCCGATGTCCAGGTTGGGCCCTCCCGCCCGGATCTTGCTCTCGATGCCCTGGTACAGAGCTTGCAGCTGGTTGTACGTCTTCCCCTTGAACACGGACTGCACATCTGAGCTGACCGAGGCGTTGACACCATCCCGACGCTCCCCTGCACAGGTGAGGGCAGCCAGTCAGTGTCCAGGCACCCAGCTGCCCCATCCCAGTTCTGCTGACAGCCAGGGACAGCTGCCAGACCCCCAGCCTGCATCCAGCAGGTCTGAGAGAGCCCCTCTGGGCCTGAGCACACAGAGTGACCCCAACACCCCTACCAGGCTCTGCTCTCCTGCTCACCTGGTCCTCCTTTCCCAGAGGCCTCCAGCTTGCGGAGCTTGGCTATCTCGTCCTCTGTGATAATGGTCATGTCTCTCCAAAAGTCCACGTTCTTTCCTTGCTCCAGCTCCATGTACACCTGCAGGCAGAAGACACATCAGGCACCTGCTCCACAGCAGGGGCAGAAGAGCAGAGCTGGTAGAAAAGCCCTGAGCCCAGGCAGGGGGCCAGCAGAGCAGGCACCTGGATGTCCTCCACCAGGTCCTCCATGTCAGAGACAGTCAAGCCATTGAGGAAGGTGTAGGGCTCGTGCATCTCCACAGCCAGGTCATCATCCTCTGCGCTGATGTACTTGGCCAGGAGATCGATGGGTTTCGCCCTCCCATCCCGAATCCGGATCTTAGACCTGGCGAAGGGACAGTGGGGGACAGTGAGCAGTGCCATCCTCTGCTCCCTGCCAGGCCTGGCTCTGAGCAGGGCCACACCTACCGCAGCTTGGCCTGCTGCAAGTGGAAGTTGTCCTCCTGTTCTTCCCAGGTTTTGAAGTGCTCTGCCTCCTTCTCCCGCTGCAGCATCTCCAGCTCCTGCTCCCGCATGGCTTTTTCCCGCTCCCGCTCCAGGCGCAGCTGCTTCACCTGCCCAGGGTGACAGAGCTGTGAGGCCACTGTGGATGGGCCTCTGTGCAAACACCACAGACCCCTGCTCGAGGACACAGCCATGCCATGACCTGTCCCTGAGTGGCCTTGGCTCCTGCCATCAGCCTGAGCTCCTGGAGAGTGGGGAGCCAGCAGGGCCAGGCTGCCTGGGCCCACTGCCAGCCCTGTGGGAGACAGGGGAACACAGGCACAACCGAGTGCCTCAGTGTCATAACCTGGCATTGTTGTCCTCAGCACCTCCTGAGCTTAAACCCAAGGGAAGAGGTTTCTCATCCTAGAACAGCAGAAGCCAAAGTTCTATGGCCCCTACAATCCTACAGACTGGACACACCCAGGAGAAGAAAATGGGGCCTTCCCAGTGAGAACCAGGCTGTAAACAGGGCTCTCTGTTAGACAGCAACATGGAAAGGACATCTTATCCCACCTTCTGCAGCTCCAGGCGATTGTCCTCCTGGATTCGCTTGTTCCTCTCCTTCAGGTCCTTCTCATCCAGATGGCTGATCCCTTTCTTTTCCAGTGCCTTAAACAGAATGGCCAAGGGAAGCTGTGGAACCCAAGGACCTCCACAGCTCCTTGCTGGCCAGCAAATGCTATTCCCTTCACCTGTTCCTGCTGCTCCAGTGAGGTCTGATGCTGGTGAAAGTCCCTAAGTCACTCAAACACTGCTCCTGAGCCCCTCAGCAAACCCAGGCTCAGCCCACACAGTCCACTTGGCCTGATGAGGTGAGTGCCAGGACAACAGTACCATGGAATCATGAGAGAAGGGACCTTAAAGTTCATCTCATTCGACCCCTGACATGGGCAAGGACACCTCCCACTGTCCCAGGCTGCTCCAAGCCCTGCCCAGCCTGGCCTTGGGCACTGCCAAGGATCCAGGGGCAGCCCCAGCTGCTCTGGGCACCCTGTGCCAGGGCCTGCCCACCCTGCCAGGGAACAATTCCTGCCCAATATCCCATCCAGCCCTGCCCTCTGGCAGTGGGAAGCTGTTCCTCTTGTCCTGTCCCTCCAGGTCCAGGTCAAGTTCTGCTCCAGCTCTCCTGGAGCTTTTGAGCCACTGGAAGGAGCTCTAAGGTGTCCCCAGAGCCTCCCCTTCTCCAGAGAGCCTTCTCTTCTCCCTAACCCCGAACACCCCCACTCTCTGTCATTCCTTTAGCAGAAGTGCAGCGTTCCTGTTACCACATCCATGTCCCTGACTCAGTAAATGGTGCCCAGCACTCAGCCTGCAGCTCCCAGCAGCTCCAGGATCCTCTCCTGCCCTTGACCCGTCTTCTTATCTCCCCACCCTGGATACAGACTCCACCTGAGGCACACATCCTCCCCTGGCTGCCCCTGCCTGTTCCATTTGGCTGCAGGGCCAGGGCAGAGCTCACCTTGCTCCAGATGAACGTGCCCAGCAGGTTGTTGTCCCCGAAGGGATTGTCGGTGTTGGTGTAGCCCATGTACTCTTCACCCCAGCCCATCTTCTCCCTCTTCTTTCTCTCCTTGGCCTCCTTCTTGGCCAACCTCCGTGCCCGCTTCTCCTCGGGCGTCTCCAGAGCCTTCATCAGAGCCGCCTGTTTCTTCTTCTCCTCCCTCAGCCTCAGCCGCTCCTGCAGGCTCAGCTGCTGCCCCGGCTNGCTTGTGCCGCCCCCAGGCGCAGCTGCAGAGGGTGCCAAGGGCTGCAGCCCTCCAGCTGCTGGGATTAACTGTCCTGGGCCAGGAGCCATGTGGGGCTGCAGCCATGAGTCTGAATCCTGGCACAGAGGGTGCTGGGGAAACTCAGCATTGACAGCCTGGCTCCCTCCTGCCCCAAGGGGACTCAGCCAGAGATCCCTGAGCCATCACCCTCCACCATGGTTGGGGACACACTCTGAAGGATGCAGGCACAGAGTGGCTGCACCAGGGCATGATTCTGACACTGCCTGTCCCTGAGCATAAACCCCTGGCTCTTTGTGGGGATGCCCCATTCCTCCAGTGTGCTGAGGAAACCTGAGGTACAGGTTTGAGGCTGTGCTGCAACCCTGGCACTGTGTCCAAACCACAGCCAGTGTGGGTGATAGACTGGCTCTGGCTTCCTGGCACCCCTCACAGTGGGAGCTGTGGGTTTGTCACCAGGACAGGGTGTGACAGGGATGGCTGTGGTGGTGAACAGCCTGGTCAGTGCCACTTTGCCTTGCTTGGGCTGGGAAGCATCTGGAAATCTCAGAATCATGGGATATCCTGAATTGGAAGGCACCCACAGGGTTCATCAAATCTAGCTCCTGGTCCTACATGGCCCTCCATTGCAAATCAGTCCGGGCTGCAAATGGGATGATGTGGGACAGGACAGAGACGTGGCAACAAGTGGGGACTGGACAACCTGGGGCACAGACCCCCACAGGGAGCACACTCCTCCTCTCCTCCTGGGACCCCTTTCTCCAGGCTGGATGTTCTTGCCACCCCACTTGCCCCAGCCCACCCTCCTGGCTGACAGGGCTGACAGGGTCCTCAGCCCAGTGGGATGCCCAGTGGGATGCCCAGCCCTACCCCAACACGCCACCCCTGCAAAGCCCCCACTGCAGAGCTCCTCCCCAGTGCACGGTGACACTGCCACCTGTCTTCTGTCCCTCACAGAAATCAAACCTCACACCAACTCTGATCACTGCCAGCCCTGGCCGTTGGTCCATCACTGGTCTGGCTCTGTGAGTGTTGTCCTGATGGTCCCCATGCCCTGTCCCTGCCCCAGACACCCCTCACTGCCAGCCCTTCTCTGGCCCCTGGTGCGGCCGCTGCACACACCCGAGGCAGGCGCTGATCCCACAGCCCGGCTGGGATGGGCCAGGCATTGCAACATCCTCTGGGGCCTCAGTCTGGTGACACACGGGGCTAAGGACACACAGAGCGCCAGCACCCTGCCCTGCCCCGGCACCGGCCGTGCCCCGGGACCTGCAGCCCCGGGACAGGGAAAGGGCCGGGGATGGCGGTGGTGGCTCGGCCCCGTCCCTCTTCTGTCCTGTCTGTCTGGGGTCTGGCAGAGCACTGGTGAATCACTGTGAGGGTGGGCCCGGCTGTTTCCATGAGCCCAGAGTGAAAACTCGCTGCTGTTTGTTCTCACTGCTCCCCGAGGGACCGCCCCAGCCCCAGAGGCGTCGGCCCTGCAGACAGTCCTGAGGCCTCAGCGTGACATTCTGAGAGCCCGAGGAGTCACCAGCCTTTCCCACGTCCTCTGGGAGGTGACAAAGTCACCCCTGCTCCACAGCGGTGCCACACGAGTGCCTGGTGTGCCAGTCCCCTCCAGCTGTCCCTTGCCACCCCCCTGCCCACTGCTCTGGGTGCTGTCCCCAACATGTTCCCCTTGTCCAGAGTGCTCCCTCTGCTCACGGGGGCCCCTCTGCCCCCCTGGTGTCCCTCTAACCTGGGTGCTCACAGCCCCAGGGTGCTCCTGGCTGCTCACTGGGGCAGGGAATGACCCCTCCCCACAGTGTCCAGTGCCAGGGGGGTCACCCTGCAGTGGCACCTTGGCCAGGCACGGAGGCAGCAGCCGCAGAAGCTCCAAATCCCACCATTACCCACACCCCCCTGTGCTCCCTGTACCTCCTGCCCTGACAAAAACACAGCCAGGACCCCACTGTGGCCTGACAGGGACCCCGGGGCTGGGGGACTCTGAGATGGATTCAGGGGCTGAGCCCTGGGACCCCCCTGAGCAGAGCTGCCTCAGCTGGGCACAGCACTCAGAGGGAAACAAATATTTACAAGGGGCCACCCAGCAGCTGCAGCGCTGGAGCGAGGGAACCCCTTCTGTGCCAGAGCCCACCAGGGCTGCCTGGGGGAAGGGGCTCCTGTGGGGCTGGGGGTCCCCACTTGCCATTTCCCCCATCACGGGCAGCCACTGCAGAATTGAAATCCTGAGCCCAGGGACTGCCCCCAGTGACCCCCTGTGCTCGTGTTTGGGGTTCTGCACCCAGAAAAATGGACATGCCAGGGAAGCAAGGGTTTGGCAAGGGGTGCTGGGGTAAAGTCCCAGAGGAGAGGAGCCAGCTCTAAAATGTCCTGCTGGAGGCTGTGAGGCACTGGCAGCAGTGTGGGGGCTCCTGGCAGGTTTGGGTCCTGCTGCAGATGCACCAGGGCTGCCCTGCCTCTGCTGGGCTCTGCTTCCTGCCCTGGCCACATCCGAGGGGAGGGAGGGAAAGGCAGATGGGGACTGTGGGAGGCTGCTCCTTATCAGCCCCTGCCCCAGCCTGCTGCTTCCCCAGGCTCCCCCAGGCATGGGCCTGGACAGGGCTTGCAAGATCAGGCCAGGATGGGGGCAGGGAGAGACACCACACACCAGCAAAGGGACCCCCAGACCAGACAGCAGTGACTCCCCCACACCCCATGGTAGCCTCGGCCTGGGTCTGGCCCTGGATGTGGTGCTGAGCCACAGGGCAGCCGTGCAGAGGATGCTGCAGGGTGTCTGCATTTATCCCTGCGTTTGTATTTATCCCACATCCCACTCGCTGGAGCTCTCCAGGACAGTGACCTTCCTGCACCATCCCTTCTGCCTCCTCCCCCTGGTGCAGGTGGTCCCACGGGACACTGTGTCACCTGCCAGGGGTGGGTGTGGTCCCACTGCCACCTCCCTCCAGCCTGGGGCTCGGGGGTACCAAGTCATGTCGAGGTCATCAGCCAGGACAGGAAAGGCTGTGGGGATGAGGACTTGGCAGAGCATCAGTGTTCCTGCCTGGGGCCACAACAATCACAAGGACCTGTTCCTGAAGAAGTTGGCCTGGCCGAGAGCAGAGACATCCCAAAGACTCCCAGGACAGAGGACATTTCTGGGAAGCAGTGACACACGGGATGGTTCCTGCCAGGCATGGTGACTGTCCTTGCCAGGGTTTTCCCTGTCCCTGCTGCGGCCCAGGGCAGAGGTCCCCAGCCTCTCGTCTGACTGGGAAGCAGCTGGCACCATCCCCAGTCTCCAGGGCCCCGGAGCCGGGCAGGCGGTGGCTGCAGGATCAGCCCGGGTGTCCTGGAGTGCAGAGCCCTGGGGCACCCGGGCCCCCGCCCGCAGCCCCGCGGCATCTCCAGGGCTCCAAGGCTGCTGGGCCGCTCGCTCCGACAGCCCGGAATGGACCCTTCCCTTCCCGGCCCTTTCCTGAGCCTTTCCTCGTCCTTCTCCGGCTCTTCCCAGAGGGAGCCAGCGGCACACGGGGCGGGCGGGGGAGCCCCGAAAGCAAACCCTGGTTCCGAGGGACGCCGAAGATTCCCGACGCGGACCCTCGGTCCCGGGGACGGACAGACAGACAGACAGTGGGGGGAGCGGGTCACCACGTGTCCTTCCCCCACGATGGGGTCTCGGCTTCCCCTCACTCGAAACGCCCCCGATCCTCGGGGCTGTGTGCGGANGCGCGGGGTAGCCGTGGACAGAAACCCCCTCAGCCATGGCCTGGCTGTCCCTTGTCCATCCGGAAGCGCTGGAGCAGTGGCTGGCAATGAGGAGGGGACTGCGGGGGCGATGGAGCCCTGCAAACGCCTCTGCCCGCTTTGGAGCGAGGCCTGCGAGTGCTCTCGCTTCACTAAAACACTTCCCACCCTGCAATTCAGCACACGTGGCCGGAGAGGCAGCGGCGACCAAACGCTGCATGCCCTGTGCGCTGCTGAGGGTCTCTGCGAGCTCCTGGGTTTGCCCCAGAGCCTTTACAGGAGCCTGACTGCAAACTCAAGGACAGAGATGCCCATTTTCTCCTGCCAGCCCCTTAGCTGGCAGGGAGAGCTCACCCGCAGCCCCAGCAGCAGGCAGTGGTCAGGGCATGTCCCCTGTACAGAGTGTGAGATCCCAGCTGGGACCGTGGCACAGCAGTGGCACAGACCTGTGTGGGAAGGGGCTGTCCTGCAGGGTCAGATCTCAGAGTACAGGACTTGTGGTGCCTCCTTTAACGATGGAGAGCCTGGACAGCACCTGCTGGGTCTCTAAAGGGAGCCTGGCACAGAACAGCACCTCAGGCCCAGAAGGAGCTGAGGTGCAGCTGGAGGAACACGCAGAGCAGGGATGCTCTCTCCCGTGAGCAGGTGCTGTTCCTGCCCAGGCAGCACTGGCAGGGCCTGTGACATTCCAGAGCTGCTGCTGCTCCCTTGCAGTGCCATGCACGGGGGCCAAGAATGAGCTCTAAAACCCAAGGTCCTTTCAGCCTCCCTGGGAAGCAGTTCCCCAGCACTGGGAGCTGCTGGCACAGGAGGTGACACAGCAGGGATTGTGCCAGCCTGAACAGGGGCAGTTTCCATTTCAAATCAACATCTGTTTACAGGAAGGTTCCTCCTTGTCCCCTTGACAAAGCTGTTCTAAGCCTTTGCCTATCCTCTTACAGGACCACCCCAGCCCATTCAGACCTGCTCCAAAGGGTCCAGCACTACAGAACTGCACAAGGATCATCTCAGAAAGGGAACACAATTCTTAGAATTGGATGAACATGCTGCAGGAGCTCTGGGTTCACCCCCTCTCTCAGGACTCAAGCACAGCTCCAGCTCACAAAGCTCATTCTCTGGGAGACCAAACAGCTTTAGACCCCCTAGAAATGAGGGGAATAAAATCTCCACCAACGATGCTTGAACCATCTCAAAAAAGATGCTTGATTTCAGGTGGCTGGAAAGTCCTGATGAGGCCAAACCCTCCAGCCCCTGACTGAGGTGGTCCCAGGGCAGGGCCCTGGCTCAGAACAGCTGAAGCCCACCCTGGTTCCCCCCCAGAGCTCCCTCCTCCAGCACAGCACCC